CAGATATGCGTATAGTGTTCTTTCAAATAATGAATCATATAAGATACTTATTTTAAACCTCGTTTCACTTGAGACTTACAATAAATAATTTCAATAATTTCAGTGTCAGCCATTATATTTGGAACGCATAATAATTTGTTTTTGAATATGAATTTTTTTGCTATGTGGCTGAATGATATTTGTTTGGCATTTAATTTGCAATTTCTTCTTTTACGTTCATTTATTTCCATTATTAATGCCCTAGGACGCTGCTGTAGATATTCATAATATCCTTAGGCCCAGGCGAGTAGCTAGGGGAGGCAGAAGTGGGTACGGCCCCCCTTAGAGAACCCGGTGCCTACACCCAGAAAAAAACGATCCAATAATAGGCCCACATCAAGCGAAAATCCTACCTAGGCCTATGTTTAGGCCATAATTAATGTAATTCAGAATAGGATTATTATTACAAAATAACAGACTATTAGAACATTTATAGGATAAATTCTTATATTACATCATTCTCAAGCAGTGAAACTTGAATTATTTGTTTATAAGCTGATCTCAATGCAAAATATAAAAGGGTATCTATTTTATAATATTTATTTTTCTTAAATAGATAGGTCTGTAAAATTATTGGAAGTAGTTCTACAAACTGCTTTAAAGGCAGAAATATAGCAGACATGAAAAATTATAACAATTGTAAGAACTTCCTGAGTCTAGGTCCGTGAGAGAATCTTAAAATTTAGTTAAGTGTTACAAGTATCATCGTGTACTAAGAATACATGAAAGAATTTTTATGGTAACTACTTTAGCGTACAAGTGATTGTACAAACTTTGTCGTTAGCACTTTCTCTTAAAATAGGATTTTGTCAACATGGAACAAACTTATCACATAATTTGGTTTTTATAGTTCTATATATCCTCCTTGAAATAGATAACATAAAATGAATAAGTACAGGGAGTTCGAAAATACAGGGTGTCCCAGAATAACGTGTACAACGGAAGATCACAGATTCGTGGACTCAAAATAGGCAGATTTAGGCTAATTCACCTATAATCGAAATCGCTTCGTTTGGCCACTGGATGGCCTCAAAGTTCATGAAAATTTTTTGAATTTTGTAAATAACTCGAATACGTATTATTCGTTTTCGATTATTTTTGGGGTGTGGACTTTTGCTTTCAATCTACACATTTTGGTATTATACACAGTGTTTTTTAAAACTTACAACTCCTACAAAATTGATGTATGTTGATAATATCAATTCATACCTTTTCCTCTTTCGGGCAATAATGACAATTATTTTTCATTTGATAGGTGATACCATTAGTATTTGGGCCTCTTGTAGAATTTTGATTAAACGAGCGACTTGGGTACAAAAAGATTTTTTTCAAATCTCTACATGTCTTCCAAATCGTATCACCTATCAGATAAAAAATAGTTGTCATTATTGCCCGAAAGAGGAAAAAGTTATAAACGGATATTATAACCATACATCAATTTTGTAGGAGTTGCATGTTTTAGAAAACACTCTGTATAACACCAAAATGTGTAGATTGAAATTAAAAGTTCATACCCCAAAAATAATCAAATCGATTAATAGTATTCGAGTTATTTACAAAATTCAAAAAAATTTCACGAACTTTGAGGCCATCTAGCGGCCAAACGAAGTGATTTCAGATATAGGTGAATTAAGTACTCGCTATTTGAATTTTCCTATTCATCTAACATGTAAACCTACGTTTTTTAAATTTTCTCTATCAGCATTTCACGTTATTTTATGTTCCATAGGCGATAATTAGGGGAATCTTTGTTTTCTGAAAGTGCCCTTAATAGGATTTAAGTAGTTTAAATGGTCTCATTGGTAAAAAATAAAGTTAATTTTTATAAATTTTTGGCTAGCAAGTCTCAAGCTAGAACGGGGATTGTTTTGAAAATTTTACACCTGTCATTTTAAGCCAATTACATACTGTAATTTCGACAGTTGCCCATGGCAACCTTCAAATTTTTCGGAAATTTTTTTCCTCCTGCAAAAAAATTAATAAGTGGAAATTTTTTTGACAGCTATCTTATGGTTCAAAAATCAGTACCTATCCAGAATTTTGTTTTGTAATGATTTATTATATATAATTTATTTTAAAATAATAAATAGATAGAAATAATTATTTACCAAATATTTGTTCCGAGATTTCTCCTATTAACGCTAAATGTTTTTGAAATTCTGACTGAAACTCTTCTCTTCGCAACAGAGAGCAACGAGGAGCATAATTATTACCTTTATTTTTCATTTCCATCAGATGTCTGTGTTTCATAAAATATATGTAATAATTTGATGAAATTTTGTTCTGCTGAGCCCTGGTTTTACGTAAAAAAGATGGGATATCTTCCTCCAACATCTTTTGAATAGCTGCGAAAAGGTTTTCTTGATGCGGACTGATTCCAGTTTTTTTTAGCAAATATAGCAAATACTTTAAATTTTTATGGGACATAAGAATGTCCCCTATTTTGGTGCAAGAATTACATATTCTATAAGGTTTTAAATTAGTTTTTTGAATTGTAAACAATTAGAAACTAGAGAAAATGACTGTCAACGTGACGTATAGCGAAGACGATTTTGACATCACAAGCCTAAGCCTATACTTGATTGCAGTTATGATTTTTTAAGAATCATTGATATATTGCCATAGACATGGGTTTTCCACAAAAACTTACTTTCCTTCTATTTTAGTAATACTAAGTGAATTATACTGCAAACATAAATATCTGAATTCAAAAATTAAATGCCTTTTTTATTACTAAAGTGAATGTAATGTGCTATTTTTTATGTTTAATAAGGATCATTAATACACTGTCATAGACATCGCATTTCTACAAAAACTTACTTTCCTTCTATTTTAGTAATACTAAGTGAATTGTACTGCAAAGATAAATATTTGAATTTAAAAATTAAAAGCCTTTTTTATTACTAAAGTGCAAGGAATGTGTTTTTTTATGTTTTAATAAGAATCATTGGTAAACTGCCACAGACATCGCTTTTCTACAAAAACTTACTTTCCTTCTATTTTAGTAGTACTAAGTGAATTGTATTGCAAAGGTAAATATTTGAATTCAAAAATTAAATGTCTCATTTATTACTAAAGTGAAAGGAACGAGGTGTTTTTTATGTTTTATTAAGAACCATTAAAAATATGTCATGCACCACAAAACAATTTCTACCTGTCAAGCCAACTTTATTTTGGTGAAATAAGTTTCAAAATGAAACATGTCAAATTTTTAAAATAAATTTTGGTTGTAAAATTTTCTTACCGAAGCCCCCATGTCCTTGAATTAATGTCCGGAAATTTTTCAAGCACTAGTGAGATTATAAGTGAAAATATTCTAGAATTCTGCCATTATGTCGAATTTTCCGAGATACCTATATTCCATTTCAATAATAGGTATGCCTTGATACTACCTACATCTGTTTCATTAAAAACGTTATTAATGCGTTGTATGGTGCTGATCCTCACTGCAGGCCTATCAGAATGCCTATTACTATAAATATTTTATAGCCATTTGTCTTGAGGACAGAACATTATCGCCAACAAGACATACAATTTCAATTTTGTTACACTTAATTTTTCCAAACCTAAAGCGCGTCACTTTTTGACTTTACATTTTATTCATACAGCCCACTACTTCAATTTGATAGAACTGAGGCTGTGTCATGTTATAATATTTTAAATGTTTTCTAATAATGTCGTATTTAACTTTTTGTTTCGTGAGTTACTGGATGAACAGACATAAATCGGTAAGATCAGCACGATTGGCAATTTGATTGATTCCATTAATATGGCGTGGGCCCATTTTAAGGGACGCTTAATTCATTGGCGTACTCAGATAAAAAAAAAGGTAATATGTTTTTTTCAATTTATAACACAAAATATGATCTGTATGCCTTGGTTTTTGTATAAAAGGAATGACACTTGGTCTTAAAGTACACTTTTCTCCCCTCTACAGTTAAAAAAAATTGGTCAAAATCGCCCAGTAAATAAAAATTTGATGAGGGTGACCCGGTTTTAAATGGGCATACTGTATACCTATTAATCTGACAAAAAAATTTTGAAAATAGTTTCCAATCGTACGAAGGCGAATAGCCCATACTTTAAGGATGAAAATAAAACTAATTACATGAAGTTACTTTGGTACAGTTGTTTCCTCAAAAAGTATTCTTGTTTAAAAAAAATACTTTTCAGTTTTTTTTTAGATAACTCAGTCAGTCAGTTAAATATTTCAGAGATAGGCCGATTTTTGAGTTAGCCAAATTTAAGTATTTAAGTTAGAGTTTAATTTAGCGCGATTTTATTTTATTTACTTCACAAATCTATATACTATCGTTAAGGTTTAATTAAATTAGAACTACTCGCCCGTTCTTAATTGATGACTGCACTAAAATACTTAAAAATTTCAGTGTTTCAAAAAATATTTGCGGATTCTCAAAATATCTACCAATAAAAAAAATATGGTAAAAAATAAAACTGTTTTTATTTTTGAAGATATTATTAACAACTTCTGTGTTTTAAATTAAAAAAAAGTTGGTATTCAAATTCGGCCACTCGAGAAACTTCCCCACATCATATTTCATTTAAATGTCATAAAATGTCGACAAATCTTTTTTTAGTTTAAAGCTTCTAGGTTCAAACTTTTTGAATAAAATATGTTTTACGATATTTTTTATATAAATAAATGTGTATAATTTAGTGCCACCATAAGTCATTTCATAAAATGGCGTGATTTGTTTTAATTAATCTAAAAATGCATATAAATTCTACGGTCTAAAACGTATGGCACGAAATCGAAGACATAAAACGCTCTTTCGTGATCAAGAAACTTTAGTAATATAGCAAATCTGGTATCAATAACAAATATGTTCATACAATATCTAATAATAATAGTTGTTACCTGCTTTTCAGTAAAAAGTGAACAAATTAGTGGTTACAAAATAATTGATAAAATATTAGATCAATGTGCGTCCACAGATCAAATGATTAAGTGTTTAAAAATCCAAGCTTTTAAAATAACTAACCGCGCTATGTTGTCCAAAAATTTGAATATAATCCATGGAGTAAGTTTAACACAGAATAATCGCTATGCTAAAAACATACAATTTAGTATTAACGATACGGAACTAGATAATCTTGGATCTGAACAATTGGATAACTTATTAACAGATACTTCTTCCAGGTAAAGATGTGTGTTTCATTACGTGTATTGAATTTTTGCAAGTAGGTATGTACCTACCTTATTTCTGTATATTTCCCTTAGAAATTGAGATAAAAATGTATATACAGTGTAGGGTAGAGGAAAAATTTAAATACAAATTTTTATTTTAATAGTAAAATTAAATATCTATAAAGTGTACCTAATGTACACAAAAACTAAATATACTTTGTTTAATAGCTTTGTGTAAGTTCACTAAAAAAGTATACTCTAATACTTTCCAGAAATACATTTACAAACACTGTAAAATGATTACTCATACCTTTATCTATTAAACAAAAACATTATGATTAAATTTATAGGTATGTACATACTTTTTAGCATAGTCTTGGCGGTTCGGTTATTAGCAATCAAAAAGCTTACAGTATAATGAGTTGACGCTTGCTTTGTGAACCTATAGGGTACATATATATCTTTTATAGTGATTATAGTGATTGCTGTCAACGATCACCTTGGTAATAAATAATAAACAAAACAATAAGTAGGCACGTACTAAAATATAATTTTTTGGGAACAGATTTAACTAATTCATCGAAAATAGCAAAATAATTATCAAATTGTTCCTAAAAACTTTCATACAATATTGTTTGATAACAACATAGCCCCACAAAAGTAGTACAGTACTTAGATCTTATATATTTTTTGATCTTGAATGCAGTCCAAAATCTGGTTTACTAGGTTTTTTTTTAGTAAAACGCTAAAATATCCCCCAAAATAGGGTGAAATAGTGAGGATAATGTAAAGCTTTATATTGAAAAGTAACAATTTCTAAATATTTTCAGAAAACACTTTAAAATAATCATTTAAATTTTTGAAAGAAATATATGCAAAATAAATCTACACCCTAAATGTGACAAAGTAATTTCAAGAATATGTAGAGAATCTGCTGCATTTTTTCCATAAATAACAAACAAATTGAAATAATCCTCATAAGTATAATTTAAACGATCCGCAGACATATTTACTTAAATTTTCAGCGAAAACTATTACAGACATAACAATAATTTGCCAACTATCTTGCCAATGTCAAGTTATTTTAATTGTTTTGGAGTGTTTCTGGTTATGGCCAATTTGACAACGGGTCTGATAGGAGAAATAGTATCCAAAAAATAGAAAATTGCAAATATCTCTAAAAATAGTAACGGCAACCCTAACAATGCTTATATGGCTTGAAAGGAAGTTTCATTCTGAATACGACAGAGGAAAAAATACAGGGTATTCCATTTAAGTTAACAAAGTTATAGCTGTTTGAAATTATCAAAATGTAACAGCAAAAATGAAACACCTAGTATTAAATGTTTTAATTCGTTGGTACACCATAATTTAGCGTTACCTATGCCCTTCACAGGTACCAAAAATCCACTTCATATCACGCTCCTGAAAAGAGTTACTAGTATCTTCGAAGATCCTTGCATCTGTCAAATTTTTCCATTAAAAATTAATATTTCAAAATCTATAACTCCTAGGTATAGGGAATATTTAAGAAAATGACCCTCAAATTTCACGTAGAATTCTAAAATGCATTAATATATAGGGTGTCCCAATAACGAAGTTGTAGTCGACTTCCGGCATAACCGGAAGTGCTGGAGAGTTCTAGATATTTTAGTTGTGTTCGCCCCAGTGACATTGCCATGTTGCCATATTTTCAAATTTTTCGGAGTAGTACTTTCCTAGATATCGATCGACGCAGTTCCCGGTGGGACACCCTGTATATTATATACATTACGATGTCTGCAGATAGTTCAAAAAACTTACATTCACACCGAAAAACGCTGCAAGCTATAACTTCGGTATTTTTGGTACGTTTTTAAAAAAATTGGTGTTATTTGCTCCAAACTAACACTTAATATAATTCTTTTTTTCAGGACAGGATTTATATTTGTTAAACTCGAGATAAAACCACATTTGGTTATAAGTTTCTTAAATCCATTAAGCATTATTTAATATCTATCAGATAAATCACATTTTAATTGACATTATTATATCGAATCTATATCGAAATGTAATCCATAGTAGGACTGCTTTTCTCACTTCACTACTTTGCCAGTTTTCTTATCTTCAAAACTCAAAAAATTAGATTTATACACAGGCAAACTAAATTTTATTTGAATTGTACAGAGCGTTCGCGGAAGTTAGGTGGGAAAACCTAAAATATTTCTCTCTTTAACGATTAAACGGATCAACTTTGGATAGTGAAGCTTATTAAAATCGTTTTATTTTGACACCAATAATCTACAGTGGCACATGTAAAGTAATATTGGGACATTCTCGACATTAAGTAGGTAACTTATTGAATTATATTATCCTAATTTCATTGTTTCTAACATGGTTATGTTCTTGCTATGTTGAATACATAGTTGTTTTTTCTAAATATCTCTGAAACGAATTCAGTAATTTGAATGAAATTTGCTTAAAAAATACGTTTTCAATATTGGACGGCTTCAATGCATACGTCTGTGATCTTTTTGCTTTTTTATTAGTGCAATTATTACCTAATGTGTTAAAAACGTAATAAAAGTTACCTCTTTATACTTTTTCATTGTACTTTTGTTATTTACTATTTAAACTAACTAGAAACGGCAAAAAAAGCCATTATCGCCATTTGTAGCATTTAACCATCTCCACATTGTGGGCTATTACATATTTTTTATGAACTTGTTTGAGTACCAACCCATGTAGTATTATTTTAAGTACGTTTCACAACCCAAATTTAAATAATATCAGGACACACTTTTTAGATGTTTATGGAAAATTGAAAAAAATAAAATTTTTTGTAACTTGCTGTATCTCAGAAACGAAGTAAAAGGGAACTCCTGTTGAAAGAGAATTTTTGTCTTATTTTTGGTCGCCAGCGACGGTACGTGAAACATCCTGTATAGTATAAAATTTAAATGCAAATCGCAGTACCGTGAATCATGGCACAGATGAAATGTATTATTGCAGGAAAACTAGCAACTATGTAAAAATCGTTTTAAAATTAAGTCGCTCCTAACTTCCATTAATGTCAGTGAGTGCGAGAGAAACGGAAAACCCTCTCATAGGCGGGTTGTATATCTTGAATATAAGAATATGCATCCGTTCCAGTGTGTATATACAGGGTGCTAGAAGTATGACTGCCATAACTTCAGTATGAGATAGAGAAATGAACAAGAAAGTTGTATATTATAGGGGTGTAAGATTAACAGTTTTCAAAATACAGCGAGTATTAATATTGGGGAGTTTCATCACAACGTGACAACAGCGCTATACAGCTGATACACACCACGTGTGCACGCGGCAGACTTGTCCTACGGAAAAAATGTAAACAATTATTATCGTGAAACTGTAAATTTCAAAACAATTGTTTTCCAGTTTTTAAATAAATAAAATAAAACGTATCGATTTTGTAGTACGAAAATAGTGTTGTGCCTAAACTTTAAGCTCGAATCTTAGTAATTATGAATCTCTTAAAACAGAGACTTAACTTTTAATCAAATTATGAATTTGAAAAATATGTAATTAAAGTACCCAAAGATTCACGTCTTCCAAATATTATTATTATTAAAAATAATTTAGGGACTTACCAAAAAGCAAAATTCAGTAATTTTTAAACGCACAGGTACAACACAAACTACAATATATGCTCAAAATGTCTACCACCATTTTCGATGCACGTACGACATCTTCGAATCCAATTTTCGCGAACTCGCTGAACACCTCGTATCTCGTACCTAGTGGTACGCAAAAAACATTCCACGGTCCAATTCCAGATACCAACACCAACTGAATTGTGTATTGCTCGACAACTTAGGACCTCGTGTTAATTGCCGCGCCGTTGTCACATTGCTCGATATGAACTTTATCTAATTTTAAATTTATTACAATGCTAATTATTTTTTAGAATCAAGTATAAAGAAGTTCAAAAAAGTCATACACATTGTATTTTATGGTATTCTATGCACGCAATTATCTCAATATTCCTTAATTAATCGAATTTTTGTACATCAAGTTGGAGATTTTGATAAATTTTGTCTCGTAAATTATTGAGTTTAGGACCCATCTCATATTAGGTTTTTTGTTTATTTTAATGTATTCTATCGTCTGTTAAAATTAAGGCAGAGAAACTTCTAACAACCTGTAGTTCATTGTTTAGAAGTTATTAAAAAATGTAACCTCTTTATTAAGCGTTTTCGGATTGCAGGCTGCAGGGAACTTTTTGCTTAAACATTGACTACATTTTCCATCTTCTGTTTCAGTTTGGTCCATATCTTACATTAGAAATATTCTGTATATTAATTTAAGTGTGTAAATTAATATTTTTTGATAAGGAAATTTAAACAAATCTTAATTTGATAAAAACAATTTGTAAGTGTACATTTACTTTTTAGATTCTTTGAAACCCACAAATTAGATGTAAACATTCCCAGACTGCTAGAAGAAGGTAGAAAAAAGAATAAAGGAGAAGGAAATGGGGCATTGTATTGGGCACTCGCTATTAAAGGCAGCTTCCTTGCAATGGCATATAAAGGCATCGCTGTCATGGCTGGTCTTGCCTTAATTATGGGGAAAATGGCTCTGCTTTTGAGTGCCATTCTTGGCTTGAAGAAACTGATAAATAGTGGACACGAATCGACTACATTTGAAATCATTAAACAGCCAAAATACACAGAACAACACACGCATTCAACTTCTTATGAAGATGATGGCCATCATCACAGGTCTTATTCCGATATACATACTTACCCTTCGAAGCGAATTTATAAAACCTATATTTAAGATTAATGAAACTGAACTTATTTTGTAATTATTATTATTTATTAATAAAATGGTCAAATACATAAAATATATTCAATAATTTAAAACATGAAATTATACAGTGATTCAGAACTTATCAAAAAATAAATAACATGTGGTTTTAATTAATAAAATAATTTGGCATACCTAACGTTACAACAACTGTTGAAAATTTATCCACCGACGTGTAAACATTTGGGCACGTCTTTCCAGTTTCTACGAACGAACACAAATGTTGTCTTGCATCACCATAAATTAAACCGATCAATTAACTGCGAGTTGATATACTCGTAAGCCATATTTGATAATTGAAAAACTAATGTAAACACTATCACAAAAACGTTAATAATACTAAAATCGGATTTGAGTACTCGCAATCGCCTGGGGCTACGTGAAATGTTGAAAATGCTACCATAATTTTTTTCTCGGAAATTATAAGGATTTTACAAAAACTATTTTTATGAAGTTCACTCTATTTTTCATGACGCAATGGACCAATGTTTGAGATGATACTGTGTAAAAGTCGGTAGCATAGTTACGTTACGACGTCACAAATATGGCTGTCGGGCGAAAATCGTAGCATACCATTCTAAGGTCAGGTTTACTTGTAAGGAGTAAAAGTATCATAGAAATGTCAATCCAACATAAAGCAAGGATCAATGTTTGGGATACTTTGTAAAATTCAGTAGCTTAGTGACGTTATGACGTCACAAACATGGTCGCTGGCCAAATTACGTTTAGGTGTATTTGCAAAAATTATAATAATACAATATTATATTATTAAAATAATATAATACAATAATCAATTTGTACAATACTAATATCAGTCTTGATATTCCAATTTGCCTATATTTAATTTTTTCCCTTTTTTTTTCATAAGTGGATTCCGAAGCAGACTTTTCACCATTGCCTAAAACAGTAAAAATAACAGGTACAACCGATTAATGTATCATTCACTGCACCAGCGACAATAGCAGTTTGGTGACTCTATCATCTACCGAGTCACGGAAAACTCTCTTGAACGCAGCGACAATAAGGAAACACAAAAGAAAATGGAAAGTCAGTTAGAAGAATTTTCTGCATTAAAGTACCACCGTCAATGTCCAAGCATGCATGAAATCTAAACTCGCTAGTATTACGGCTAAGCAGCACGCAACATTACCAGATGAACCATCGGTATCTTCCAAAATGCGGTTGTGTAAGGACTCATTACACCAAAGTACGTCAGGACCAATTATACCATTCATCTGCATTTTTTGTGAGAAGTAACAGAAGTACAAGCCAGGAAGGAACTAGTGCAATGTGTGGAATTGAGATCCAGTGGCACGATCAAAGCCTCTGCTATATCAAAAAATGACAGCAGAATTCTTGGGTCAGCTGAGACTATATGTTTCGTCTTAGCAGAAGCGAATTACCACTTTTAATGCTACTGGAAGTGGTACAGTGACGGTGGTACTTTAATGTAGAAAATTCTTCTCCGGTAACTGACTTTGCAATTTCCAGCAATCTTTTGTGTTTCCTTATTGTCGCTGCGTTTAAGAGAGTTTTCCATGATTTGGTAGATGATAGAGTCACCAAACTGCTGTTGTCGCTGGTACAGTGAATGTTCATTGGTTTGATCTGTTATTTTTACTTTGTTAGGCAATGGTGAAAAGTCTGCTTCGGAATCCATATATAAAAAAAAAGAAAAAATTAAATATAGGCAAATTGAAAACAATTTAACAAGACTGGTATTAGTATTGTACAAATTGATTATTATATTATATCATTATTATTAGGGTTTGCAATCCCGCATTCCGCGTTACAGCATTCCAGTAATTTCCCGCATGTCAATGAGACCTGCGGAATTCCCGCATTTGCGCGGAAATTCCCGCGCGGGAAATTTTTGAATAGAATACGTCCGTTTAGCGACATTGCGCGTGGCGCGCCCGAGCGCCCCGTTTGGTTTGCGTGCGCATCCCGTTCCTCTGTGATAGCATCGATCAATCGAGCGAAGGAAAGGATTAAAATCGGCAAATCTTTGCATCATTCAAACAAATGCCTTGATTCGTTTGTTTATTTTCCAGAAAAAAAGTGTTTACAAAGTGAAATTTTATATGTAACTAAGAGTTTTGTCTTCTTGTATGTTACTTTAATTATACTATACTGCCCTACTTCGGAAAAAGATCGTGAATGCAGTTTTGTGACAAATTGAGATAATTACATTTTCGAGATCTATATCGCATTATACATCCTATCTATAAATATCAAAAATATCGTTATTGTTTCTTTAAATTTAAAAATTTGTACATTTTAAATTTCAAATATTGTGTCACTGTTTCATTAAGAGGTACATAGTATAAACGCCGCATGTGACCACATACAGGTTTCTTCTGTAGCAGAAGCGTTGAAATACGATGTTTTTAACACATTAAATTCGTATGTGTTTACATGCGTTGATTTAAATTAAACAACAATTAAGTATTATTTGCAACACAATATATTAAAAATTGTAAAATACCCTGCAAAAACATCCAAAATATCATGTATAGGATGTACATGTTCTGGTTCTTCTATTAATTTCTGTTGAAAATGTAGCACATACTGCACATACGGCATTTTTACCTAGAAAATCTTAAATTTATTAAGACAAAACAACTTTTTCGACGGTGTTTTATTGAAATTGCAATGTTTTCTAATATTCTTCAAATACATTAAAAAATATTTGTTTTTCATTTGCCATTACTGAAAAAATCAAGTTATTGAATGACAGCCAAATGAAGTATGCCTAATATCTCTTAGCAATTTTCTCGAAACTGTCATATTCCGAAGTAGGGCAGTATATTAGCGATGTATCTAGCAAATATTTTTTTAGAAATTGTTACTATGATTAAATTACTAACCTATCCTAGATGTTTATTAATTTAACAGCAACAAATACGTTAATTAACTAGAGACATAATAATATATATGTAAAAATAACAAAAGTAATATATTATTGATGATTGTATATAATGCTTATCTGTTGATTTTTAAATACCAAGAATTATTTATATTTCATTTGATTAAATATAAACATTCCACAATAATAGCATTATTATTTTCACATATAAATATATTTTTAAATCTCTCGCGGGAATTACAGCGGGATCCCGCTGTAAAGGTGAATTTACCGCAAATTTCCAGCTGGCAAAAAAGACTGCGGGACTGCAAACCCTATTTGTTTGTATTTTCTTAAATTGTTGTTTTTATGATTGTGTGTTTCTTTGACTTGCTACCATAATATGTTATGTTATGTTATGTATACCAATAAATATTCTATTCTATTCTATTCTATTCTATTCTATTCTATTCTATTCTATTCTATTCTATTCTATTCTATTCTATTCTATTCTATTCTATTCTATTCTATTCTATTCTATTCTATTCTATTCTATTCTATTCTATTCTATTCTATTCTATTCTATTCTATTCTATTCTATTCTATTCTATTCTATTCTATTCTATTCTATTCTATTCTATTCTATTCTATTCTATTCTATTCTATTCTATTCTATTCTATTCTATTCTATTCTATTCTATTCTATTCTATTCTATTCTATTCTATTCTATTCTATTCTATTCTATTCTATTCTATTCTATTCTATTCTATTCTATTCTATTCTATTCTATTCTATTCTATTCTATTCTATTCTATTCTATTCTATTCTATTCTATTCTATTCTATTCTATTCTATTCTATTCTATTCTATTCTATTCTATTCTATTCTATTCTATTCTATTCTATTCTATTCTATTCTATTCTATTCTATTCTATTCTATTCTATTCTATTCTATTCTATTCTATTCTATTCTATTCTATTCTATTCTATTCTATTCTATTCTATTCTATTCTATTCTATTCTATTCTATTCTATTCTATTCTATTCTATTCTATTCTATTCTATTCTATTCTATTCTATTCTATTCTATTCTATTCTATTCTATTCTATTCTATTCTATTCTATTCTATTCTATTCTATTCTATTCTATTCTATTCTATTCTATTCTATTCTATTCTATTCTATTCTATTCTATTCTATTCTATTCTATTCTATTCTATTCTATTCTATTCTATTCTATTCTATTCTATTCTATTCTATTCTATTCTATTCTATTCTATTCTATTCTATTCTATTCTATTCTATTCTATTCTATTCTATTCTATTCTATTCTATTCTATTCTATTCTATTCTATTCTATTCTATTCTATTCTATTCTATTCTATTCTATTCTATTCTATTCTATTCTATTCTATTCTATTCTATTCTATTCTATTCTATTCTATTCTATTCTATTCTATTCTATTCTATTCTATTCTATTCTATTCTATTCTATTCTATTCTATTCTATTCTATTCTATTCTATTCTATTCTATTCTATTCTATTCTATTCTATTCTATTCTATTCTATTCTATTCTATTCTATTCTATTCTATTCTATTCTATTCTATTCTATTCTATTCTATTCTATTCTATTCTATTCTATTCTATTCTATTCTATTCTATTCTATTCTATTCTATTCTATTCTATTCTATTCTATTCTATTCTATTCTATTCTATTCTATTCTATTCTATTCTATTCTATTCTATTCTATTCTATTCTATTCTATTCTATTCTATTCTATTCTATTCTATTCTATTCTATTCTATTCTATTCTATTCTATTCTATTCTATTCTATTCTATTCTATTCTATTCTATTCTATTCTATTCTATTCTATTCTATTCTATTCTATTCTATTCTATTCTATTCTATTCTATTCTATTCTATTCTATTCTATTCTATTCTATTCTATTCTATTCTATTCTATTCTATTCTATTCTATTCTATTCTATTCTATTCTATTCTATTCTATTCTATTCTATTCTATTCTATTCTATTCTATTCTATTCTATTCTATTCTATTCTATTCTATTCTATTCTATTCTATTCTATTCTATTCTATTCTATTCTATTCTATT